TGTCAAACCACTGTCTGGACGAAAGTTAAATAATAATTTTTCATAATCGAACTAGTTACATTAAATGTATGCAGATTTTTATTTCCTGAGCGCAAACTAAAGAAATATTGTAGTAGGGTCCACCCGTGTTTTCTAGACGCTTAATTACTCCTCGAATATGGAAACACTAGGTCTTCTGTGTCCGTCTATCTGTTTGTTGTCTGTCGTTTGTGTCGATTTTTATTGGACAGATAATTTCCGGAACTGGAGTGATTATTGCCAAATTTTGATATGTAGGTATTTTAGAAATATCATGTGGATGATAAAACGCTAACCAATCTAAATTGTCTAAACATTCCCACCAACGTGATGACGTCAGTTCACAATTGTCTGCAGTACATTTTCTTTAAATTTTATGAATTGATTTTAGATTCTAGACTTTAAGGTTTTTGGAAAAAAAAAATCGAAATTGTATAACAGCAATTTACAATTTAACTTTCAAATTGCAAAACCGAATGCTTCAAAATATTGCTACAGTTTTAAATTTGTTTTCCAAAAACTTCTACGCGTGGTAAAAAATAACTCTGGATTGATAAACCGCACTTAGAAGCATACTATTTCCAACATTTTAAATAGAATTTACTATCCATATTTTTAGATGACGTGATCTTTGGTGGAGGTGAACATATACATTTTGATGAGTGTAGTGGGCTGTGGAACGTCAAGAAAACATGAAAATAGCAATTCATCAAATAGACCCTGTTGTATATAATTTTTGCAAAAATAAAAAACTACTACCTGATCTAAAACCACTTGTTGATTTCAGTTGCGTACAGAAAAAACCCCAGTGGTGATTTTCATATTCTAGAGTGGCACTACCTTTTATATACCGTTGAAATTTTAACGTACGTTAAAGTTGTCATTACTAAACACGCAAGTATAAACAAATTATAATTCAGTTATTTTAACGATTGTAGAATTTGAGCTTTTCGTCTAGTTTTAAAACCTTTTGAAACGTCAAAACATTTCCAAAATCTGCGATTGAGTTATAAGTTAAGTTGGGGGTCGAAAAATCTTAAACGTCAATGTCATTCCGCTGTCTCAAAGTGTAAAATATTTTCAAGTATTGTAACATTATTTTTTTTAGTTTTGTCATTTTTGACATTGCGGACATGCTGATATGTAGTAGATTGTGTGGTAATCTTTTAAACTTCAAACGTCAAAATGACAAAAATGGCGTGGAAGATTTTTTGGTCGCGACTATATCTTTTTTCCTTTATGTCAAACTTCAAACCAATATGTATATAGAAGAAAAAGATAGATAAATTCTATTAAATATCATTTATCAGCTAAATCTTACATATACAGACTGATTCAGCGTAAATGATGAATTTGACCTATCCGGATAGGCACCCCAAAATACATTTTTGTTCTTTTCCTTGATTCATAGTAGAATTTAAAAAATATCATGAATCCAAGCATTCTTATGTCACCGTCAATAATGCCAAGATATTCATTTACCAACACCGAGAAAACATACGTGATCTTTATTTATGGAGAGTGTTAAAAAATGCTCCAGTCTACACAGACAGACGACAGAAAGAGAGACACTTTTTCGTATTGCAGCGGTTACGTCTAGAAAACCTGAAAGTAGCAGCCATTCGAATGTGTACATAATTATATTTAAAATTGGAAAGACAAACTAAACTCCCTTGCAATTATTGTGATGCATAAATTCATATTATCCAATTAAAAATAGACCAGTTTATAAAATGCAAGATAGGTAACTACTATTGATCATTTCAAATTCATTTATTATAAATCGTTTGTTTTACAAAATGAAAACGATATTTTTGCCAACATTTTTTATTGAGAGTTAAAAAAAGTCTTCTTGGATAAATTTGCAACAATGTACAGTAGAATAATTTATTGATTACCTAATTGTTAAATTTACAGGGTCGCTAGAATATATGGAAACAGTTAAATATCTTGAGAACCAATTGTACAAATAACCTGAAATTACGAGTACGTATAGGGGTACAAGAAGTTGTGTTCTCATTATTCGTCAAAAAACATTTTTTTTGCTTCATTTGTTTTCGAGATGCAAGCCCAACTTGATTTTTTTTAAATGGCACTATCATACATATAATTAATGCATTTTTAAATATAACTTTTTTTCTGATTTTAGTGTTACAGACACAATCATACTTTCTTACTGATTGAAATGGCAAAATAAATGATTAAATAATAATTAAATAAATTAACCAATAACAACCGAAACCAAAATTAAACTTTTGTTTTCTACAAAAGATGCTAAAAATGCTTCCATTTACTTCTTGGCAGTAAAAAAGGCGCTGAATAAAATTTTGTATTGAGTTAATGAGAATTTCTGGACGAATGCTAGCAATTTGGTTACGTGTGCGTTCCTGTAAGTCTTCAATGTGAATCGGTCTATTGATATAAATGCGATTCTTCAAATAACCCCATAAGGAAAGTCAAGCGGTGTCAAACCCGGTGACCTGGCAGGCTACTCAATAGTACTCTTTTGGTTTATCTATCTGCCAGGAACAGTTTCAAGTCGCACTTGACGTCCAAAATGGGGTGAAGCACCGTCTTGTTGTTTCAGTTGTGTTTAAGAGGATAATAAGGGTATTTGCATCATTCGTAGCAGTTTTTGGGCTGTCAGGTTTTGGACGTGCTTTAACACTTTCAGTTTCATTAAATCTTCGTTGGGTTTTTGAAACCGCCGACTTAGAAATGGCTCAGAATGAATTTCATTGAAAAGTGTTACTACTTGAACAAAACTTCGTCTTTTGTCACCGTAACCGATATTCATTAATAATTCTATGTGCTCAGTTTCACTTAGATGCACCATTTTTACAAGAAACACCTTACATATAAAAAAAATTCAAAGGTAACTACATACATCATCTTTCTTTTTTATTTATTCTTATTTAAAATAATTTATTTTGCCATTTCAATTAGAAAAAAAGTGCAATTGTGCTATATCAATGAATTTAAAAAACTTATTAAAAAATGTATTAATTATATGGTAGTGCCATTTAAAAAAAAAAACAAGTTGACCTTACATCTTGAAAACAAATGTAGCAAAAAAAAATTTTTTTGGCGAATAATTAGAGCACAACTTCTACGTCAATCAATACCTAATTTCAGGTGATTTGTACAATTGGTTCTGTTTTCATACCTTCTAGCGACGCTGTATATACAGGGTTAGTCACGAGAGAATTACTTCTGAAAATTATTTTTACGCAACCCAAAATACGAATACCGTGTGTCACTTGATACTAACTGAATTTAAAAGGAAATGCTTAATCCATGATTGCTTTGAGTTTGGCAATCTCATTTTGACAATTGTGGAAAAGGAGGTTACGCGAGTGTCCATGGTGGTACTGCAGCCAGTCGGAGATGTCCTCCGGCGCCGCTAATAAATGTGTCAGTGTGCCTCTTGATCTTTTGCAACCAATTAATCACGAGAAAATTATTTCTAAAAATTCCTTGTACATTTTATTCAAAGGTTACAACATAAACTCAAACAAGTAAATAATTTAACTACTAATCTGTTGAAAATATTGGGCATTTTGGGGGGATGCTACGGTTTTTTTGTAAATGGATGGCCGAAGAAGCCCAGAGGTTGCAGACTTGCACTTCGAAGAGGCTCTAGGTGACGCAGAGATGGCGAATTAACACATGCACATTAGCGGCGAACAACATTGGTAGAGCACTTACGGCTTCAATATAGCCCAGATTGATCTGACCGTATGTCGTCGATCCAATGGGGCTCTAGAGCCGAGTCCACGATGAAACAAAATGTTAAAAATTAATTAACGTCAAAGTGATACTGCCAAAGTCAAAGCAATCATGGATTAGGCATTTCATTTTAAGTTTACAAAATATCAAGTGGTACAGGGTATTAGTATTTTGGGTTGCGTAAACATAATTTTCAGAAGTAATTTTCTCGTGACTAACCCTGTATATGGAGACGATAGGGGAGGTGGGTTAATAATGCCTCCATGCGTTTGTAGAGACTTAATACCTCCATGGTATTGCAAAGTGAGTTTTATTGTTTATTAAGACTTCAATAATAGCCTGTTGGTTTTCTCTAGAACATATTGTGATGAAGAAGACTGATAGGGGCTGGTTACTTAACTTTTGAAAATTTACTACAGCAGCTAGTATTTTAAAGTAGCTAGACGGAAGGCGAGTCATGTCAAAGATGAAAGAGGCTCGAACTATTACATGTAAATATCTCATACATGTCATATCTCTAACTGCCATTTGCCAATTTGTTCAGGTTGGACTTGCAAAAATAATTTTCGAGTGCCGTATTTCGAATAAGTTTTTAAATTGCCACCACTCTAGGAATTATAAACTTTTCTTGAATCATCAAGTTTTCAGGAAGACTGTTATTACAAAAGGAACTTGAAAGACCTCTATGTATCTTACAATTAGTTGCTACAAGTTCTTTCAAGGTATTTAGTTCAAATTTTAGTGCGCAGTGTGTTCTGGGTAAGAAAATTGTCAACATAGCAAATTTAATGTGTAAATGTATCAAAAATTCGAAGCTTTTTCTATTATTGTGTGCGTCAAAAAGTCTATATGTCGTTAATTGAGCGTACATTGAAAATGCGACATATAAGAATTTTACTAATTTTGAATAAGAGCCAATGTTATGATGCGGATTGATTTTATACTGACGAATGCCGAATTAATTTGACAGTGATAAACTGATGACTGAGCTATTCAACGAGTCGCAGTCGAATTCAAAATATGTAAAACTTACAGAACACTTGTTATTATGTAATTGAATAGAGCACTAATTTGCATTTTAAATTTACTCTATTGATTTTTATTGGTGATTCAAAAATGAATAGAATATTTGGTATTAGTTATAAATTGAAAATGGCATTAAAAACAATTGCATATTTATAATTTGAAAATTGTTCTAGTTATGTCTCCACTAACTTTATATAATTATTAATTAAGTCTTTAATTGCTTCTAGGTCAGAAGGAATGGATACAGGGTCTGATTCAACAACTAACAACGATTTTCCTCTGCGAAAAACAGGTGCGTTAGAAATATATATATATATCTGTTTTCTTTACTATAAGATGTAGCTATGTGCATATACAAAAAGGGTGTTGCATGCTTTAGTTGTAAGATTTACTTATTTATTTACTTTTTTTATTGAAAGTCATACATTATACACAGCACAACACACACAGAATTTACATGCGCAAAATTAGAAAAATTATTTAACTCGAAAAGCTAGATAACACAATGAAACGCTTTAGTTTGCAGTTTCCACCTCCTTTGTCCCATCAGGGGGTCGATTCTCGAACTCGTTCGCAAAGATGCGAGTACGAATAGATGCGCATGCCAAGATGCTATTCGAAACGAAAATCCGTCTTCTTGAACGAGATTCAATGCGAATAGCAACTCGATGCGCATACGAAGGCCTCTGTTCGAGTGAGGATATGGCAACAGCGGCAAAATACAGATGATATTTAAATGCGATGGTTGGCAGAACTCACGCGGGATGAGTTTGAATCCAAGAAGGACTATTTTAATTTGTTACCTTCAAATTTATTACCAGCAAAACACGCATTAGCAGGATTGGCTCGATTTAAATTATTGCTTTTAATAATAATGAAACAACTTTCAGAGTTTAAATAATATATTTGTAGTCACTGCTACACGTGTTTCGGTACACAGTACCGTCTTCAGGCAGGGACGTGTAGCAGTGACTACAAATATATTATTTAAACTCTGAAAGTTGTTTCATTATTATTAAAATTAATATGGAGTTTAAACACGTATCAGCCTCATCAATACAAACATTAAATTAAATTATTGCTTTAAAGTATTATTGTTTTTTTTTAAGTTTTCTTTACAGTTTGCGAATATGTAGTGCATATTACGGCCCTTTTAATGCAAATTTATATCAAAATAAGTTGAACTTTAACTAAAATACAATATTTCCAACAAAAAGGAACGATAATTCTTTTAAATTGTATTTTAAAGATTATAGGAGTGAATATCATATTAATAACACTATCAATTCCTTTTTTGCAATGTAAATTACAATAAATTCTCTTTATTGTTCAAAACTAAGAAGTACGGCTCAAGGATGACATTAAGTCGGATACTTACTATTTTAATCAGGATTTTAATCCCAAATAATTGACAGGCTAAAAAAACATAAAAAATCGTGATTAAAAAAAATGTTGATTTTATGATTTTATGCAACCCTACGTATTTAATCCAAATTCTTGTGATTTTTTTACAATGATGCAGATACAAACTTAATAATGTTTATTTTTGAGTGGGACCACCGCAGCCAGCATATATTTGCATATTAATACCTTTATTGCTGCGTGTACTCTCCTAGTTTATAGAAAATTCTTAGCGTTTGGTTACCCGATATTTATTCAGGTATATTTATGCATATCATTACAACCGTTTTGTACAGCAAATGATCTTTCAGAATTCATTTTAGTTTTTATTTTTTAAACAACTGCACGTATATTTGAAATGTTCGCAGTGGCTACCCAGAGTCACCTAAAAATTATGGTTACAATCATACTAAGAACGTGTTAATGTATTGTTAGAAATTACCCAAAATATCGCAATAGTCCGTTGTTTCTTCATACATATGTAGCTATTATGTGTACTACACAGAAATCGGCTGTTTCAATTTAATTTTTTTAAATTTGCATCACAAATGTCAAAATTGTAAATGAAATTAAAAAATTCCTACAATCAAATTGATACATTACAATTTGTGTATTTTTGGAATGGTAACCCTTTCTATTAATGTATGTTAACAGATACAGCATATTACAGATATTATATTGACGTTACAATAGAACGACCAAAACCAAACAGAGTTTTAGGTTAGCTTTCACCACTCGCAAACCAAAATGCGATCGCATCTACCCACTCGTAACTTGACGTTCGTATACGCTCGAACATTTGCGTATACCAACGTGTGCGCGCGCTTCGAGAATACCGAATCTTCAAAACCGTTCGGAAGTTGGCCACTTGCGTATGCGGAACTTATTCGAACGAGTTCGAGAATCGACCCCCAGTACAGTATATTTCAGTGTGTTGTCCAGTGGCGGCTCGTGAGATTTTGGTAGGTTGGGCAAGTTGGTCAAGCACTTGGTACCTAACCAAAAGTAACAAAAGTAAATATGTTTTCTATGACGACGTTCTTACAGCCTAAAATTTCCCTGATTTAAAGAATCTCTTAATACATTGTGATTACGGAGTGCTTGTTCTTGGGTTGCTAAATAAATGATCATATTAGCCAGCCTCGGTATCATTTCTCTATTTTCTTTAACCAGCTCATTATACAGGGTGTCTCAGAAATAAGTACATTAATTTTAATCAGTTATAGAGCTCATTGAACTCAACAACTTTTTTTAGTAGAGTTTTGTCAAGAACTTTTTAATTATCAAGTTAAAAATTGTTAAAGTTATACCCCAATTAAGGTTACCCGCCCATGGATCCTCAGTCACCCATGGACACTAATAATTATTATAATTAATAATTTATGGTCAAAAACAGTTACTAGGATACGTATTTTCCTAATCTTGGTCAATGTGACAAACATTTAGAGAGAAACTGAAAATCCTGCTCCCTAATGGCGTACGAAATTTCAACGGCCCAAATGTGGGTGTTGAACACCTTCCCTCGTGTAACCGACCTCATCAGTTGATGGTATAAGAGATACAAAATTTGCTTGTTCGTTTATTTTCTATTAACCCACTCACAAAAGTTTTGCCTACGTGGTAAGTCTGTTAGTTTCAATGACTGAACTTTCTGGTCCTGAAAGGGGTACATTTGTTCTCGGAGTATCGTCCAAATACTACTCTCCGATACATCACACTAGACAGTGATACGTGCTAGTGCCCGGTCGAGCTTCGACACTCTTCAAAACAGCCTCTTCAATATTAGCAATTCTATTACTACGTAACTTACCTTGATCCTGAGGTGCAGGTTTAAAAGATCCGTACTCTCGAAAATGCTGCAACGTTCTTAAAACTGCGCACATTTGGCAGTCGACGATTTGGGAGGTTTTCTGAAAAAATTCGTTGGGCGCAAGTGCCGTTTCCCCGAACTTCACAGTACATTAAAACGATATCGGTGCATTCCAGATTTGAAAACAAAGCCATTTCAACATATTTCGTCTATAAATTAGAAATCTGTGCCAAACAAACTTTAAAGAGACAACGTTTAATAAAAACATTGACATAAAAATTGTCAGTGTCAAAACGGTTGCTACGGTACCTTCTTCATTGTTGTAGTGTTGCTATTATTTAAGTTATTATTTAAGGTGAACACAGACGGCTCGTGAAGATATGGGTGGGAAAATTCGAAATTCGACTTGGAGTTTTCGAAAAAATGCTAGATAAAAAAGTTGTTCCGTTTCACGAGTTCTGTTACTGGTTAAAATTAATGTACTTATTTCTGAGACACCCTGTATTTTAAAACACTTTGAACATGGGCTGAGTTTATTGAACTTCGATTAGTATTTTTCCCAAACAATTTAAATTTTAAAAACGCAAGAGTATGTTGTTCTGAGTCCATGTTTTTTCAATGATTCGGAAATGTGTTTTAAGTCGTCGTGGCCACCAGTCCAAGGACTTTGCTACGTCTCAGAAAATGAAAGACAACTTCAGCAGTAAAGTTTTTTTCACTTTCCGCTTCCCGTGAGCTTACTTATCATACCAATTACTTATTATTAAACTCTCTCTTACCTCTGCTGCCTTTATTCTTTATTATTAAATTTTTATCATAATTTATTTATACAGGGTTAGTCACGAGAGAATTACTTCTGAAAATTATTTTTACGCAACCCAAAATACGAATACCATGTACCATTTGATACTAACTGAATTTAAAATGAAATGCTTAATCCATGATTGCTTTGAGTTTGGCAATCTCATTTTGACAATTGTGGAAAATGAGGTTACGCGAGTGTCCATGGTGGTACCTTAGCCAGTCGGAAATCTCCTCCGGCGCCGCTAATAAATTTGTCAGTGTGCCTCTTGATCTTTTACAACCGATTAATCACGAGATAATTATTTCTAAAAATTCCTTTTACGGCATTTTATTCAAAGGTTACAACACAAACTCAAACAAGTAAGTAAATAATGTAGCTACTAATCTCTTGAAAATGTTGGGCATTTTGGGGGGATGCTACGGCTTTTTTGTAAATGGATGGCCGAAGAAGTCCAGAGGTTGCATATTTGCACTTCGAAGAGGCTCTAGGTGACGTAGAGATGGCGAATTAACACATGCACATTAGCGGCGAACAACATTGGTAGAGCACTTACGGCTTCAGTATAGCCCAGATTGATCTAACTGTATGTCGTCGATCCAATGGGGCTCTAGAGGCGAGTCAACGATGAAAAAAAATGTTAAAAATTAATTAACGTCAAAGTGACACTGCCAAAGTCAAAGCAATCATGGATTGGGCATTTCATTTTAAATTTAGATAACATCAAGTGGTACAGGGTATTAGTATTTTGGGTTGCGTGAAAATAATTTTCAGAAGTAATTCTCTCGTGACTAACCCTGTATATTTAGTCTGCTAAATTTAGTCTCCAGTAAGAAATTTACGATATCGTCATTATTGATGATCACCCCCCGAATGATTGTATTTAGACTAATACCTGCAAGTATACCTAACGTTGAAGGCGATGACAGGATTATACCTACTATTATAACTTGTCAAATTGTTATCATTTGCCATGACTTTAAGGTTATGATTATTGCGCACTAAGCACTTATTGACTAATTGAGTAATTCCAAAACAATTAAGTTAACTCACCACAACCCCTCAGATCCTAAGGATACTAAACAATTTACAACTTTTTAACGGTTCACGATGTGACGCGAGAGCACGAGACGACTACGAAACTATCCGATTGGGCTAGCCCAGCCCGTACCGTCAACCTGTCAACCTTACAACGCTGGCTGTGTGCATTACCGAATACGATGTTACGATATTCGAGATAGTAGATAAAACAAGAATCCGACATAAAATGATTTTTCTT